TTTTGTTTCCTATTCTTTCAAACTTCATGCCTAGGATTGTATTCGGTTCATGACACAATGAATTTGAGAATCGTTTTTCGAATTTTTCCTTGAAGCAGCTGCCCAAACCAACCAGAACCAAGTCATCTACGTGAAAGAAAAGGCAAGAAACTCCATCGTCGCCCAGATAAAGATACGGATCACAGTTTGATTCATGAAATCCAACCGATTCAAGCCAAGATGCTAGTGTTTTGTACCAGTTCTTGGGAGATTGTTTAAGTCCGTACAGCGCCTTCTTGAGTTTGAGGTAAGGAGCATTGCGGTTGACTCCTTTCGGCGTTTTAATGTAGACATCTTCTGTGAGAGGGGCATGTAAGAATGCTCCTTGTACATTGAACTGAGTTATTGACAAGTTTTGATGAAGAGCATAGAGCAATATCATCCTCAGAGTCAACACTTTTCCAGTTGGAGCGAATGTCTCCCCGTGATCAATGCCTTCAATCTGATTAAACCCCTGCACACACAAGCGAGCCTTGTGTTTCAAGGGATCTCCATGACAGTTGTCCTTAATCTTGAAGACCCACGTGGTGTTCAGTGGATTGGGGGGCTCATCTGAGTGATTGACCCATACTTTGTGATTTTCGATTGAAAGCACTTCTTTTTCGATTGCTTCTTTCCAGAACTTTTCATCCGCACAACGGATAGCCGACTCAAACGTGTTCGGCTCATAGTAGTGGTGAAATCCAAATTGTACTGGAGGTTTGAGAGTTGATCTATCACGTAGAACTCTAGTTGATTGCGCTGTGTTTTCTGGTGCGGGATCACAAGATTTCAACATTTGAGAGATTTCTTTGTCACAATCAGGGTTGGAGACATCTTCGTCGTTGACTTCTTCACTATGACGTTCTCCTTGGATCATTGACTCAGATTCATCAGTTTCTGGTTCTGGATTGTTGTTTTGTTGTGAATCAGTGGTAGCCGGCCTTTCAGTAGGAGTGTCTGGTTGAGGAACTTCCCAGTCGATTGATGTCAATTTGACTTCCGGCATCTTGATGAAGCGCACATGTTTGGATTTGACAGTACCGCCGGTGCGCAACAGGATTCTGTATGATAGAAGAGGAATATTGAATCCGACGAGTAATCCTTCTTGACCCTTTACATCAAATTTCTTCCATTTTATCCTGTTCATGTTCAACACAGCAGCCATCATTCCAAGTGTTTTGAGGAAATTTGGCGGAAGATCCTTTCCATGAACCATCATCCAGGGTGATTCTGTGCATCCTTTCTTTGGAATCTGATTCAGCATTAAGAAACAAGACTTGACAACATCATGCCACATGTTCTTTGGGATTCCTGAAGAGCAGAATGTAGCTCTCATCGATTCAACAATGGTTCTGTTGGCCTGTTCCACCCTACCGTTGTGTTCAGGGTGGTACGGTTCGGATATTAGCCTTTGAATGTGGTGTTTATCGAGGAAGCTGACTAACCTATTCCCCGTGAACTCCCCTCCTCCATCGGAGCAGATTTGATTGGGGAAGTAGCCTCGTCTTTTGTTTTCGGCTTCCAGCAATTTGATCAAGACGTCGGTTGTGTCATCCTTCTTTCCAAGCGGGAATCCGGCCAAGTAGCCAGAGTAATTATCGACCAAGGTGAGAATGTATTTGGATTTAATTTTAGACTCTGGGTCGATTGGTCCAATAATGTCTAGGTGGATTCTTTCAAATACTTTGGATGCTGGCTCGGACTCCGCTTTGAAAGATTGTTTGGTGATTTTTGAGAGTGTACAAGCCTTGCACTCGAAGTTATCTTTTTCTGCTTTCGAGATAGAAGGCGGGATGAGATGTCCAAGACGCTGTAGGGATGCATGACCGAACTTCTCGTGAATTGATCGAAGAGAATCCATACGAGATTGTGAAAGGTTGGCGGTGTGAGTTACTGAACCTCCCACGGAATCAGGATTATTCACAGCAAGGAGATTGTTTTCGACCTTGCCCTTGAATCTCGTGATTCCATCCTTCAATACTTCGAAACTGTCCTTTTTGGCAGTTATTTCACATCCCTTTTTCAGCAAGACTCCGGCGCTCACGAGGTTGATGACAATATCCGGCACGAAGAGGCAATTTTCCAGCGAGATCGTTGAATTGTCCCATTGCAGGGTGACTCGACCTACTCCTTTGATTGGTAGGGTGGCTCCCTCCTTGCCAGTTCGAATTACGTCATGATCTCCGAGTTCTAATTGATCAAAGAATCTTGGATCGTTGAAGATATGTGCAGAGGCGCCACTGTCGAGTACGATCTTAAATTTTGAATCGCCGGTTTCAGTCCATAGCGTAATGAGTGACAGATAGTAGTTGACCTTTGAGTTGGAATTGGTCTTATTCGCTTGCCACTTAGCTTGGGCTTCTTGCCACCAGTCTGGCGCCTTATCGGGGTGCAAGTGCCAGCATGAATCTGCTGAGTGGTTGCCGTCTTGCTTGGGATTATGATACCCCGCCGTACACCTCCGTCCTCCATTTGAGTTCGAGTTGCCTTGTGCTCCTTTGTAGCTAGATTTTTGATTTTTAGTTGCAACTAGGGCAGCTTGAGTTGAGGAACCGGAATCTTTGATTTCGGCTCGGTTCTCGTTGTTGAACTGGATTAAATGATTACACACAAATTGAACCGTTAGACTTTTATCGGAATGCATTATTTGTCTTTTGAGGAGTTGTAGGTTTTCAGGCAACTTGAAGAGAATGAGGTAGGCGAGTATATCTTGCGGAAGGTCAATGCCTACGTCGACGAGTTTTTTAATTGAAACTTTTATATCGGTCACAAAAGCTTCTAGGGCGTCCTCTTTGAACTTGACGTAGAGGAATTCATTGAAGACCCTAGCGCGATTTGAAGACTCGTCCGAGGCAAAGCAATCCTTGATAGCCTTCCAGAGGTCTTTTGCGGATCCTCTGTTGTCTGCCGTGACGATGTTATTGTGCGTCACACTATCCATCTTCGAGATGAGAAGTAATTTGAGTTCGGCGTTGACGTCTTCTGCTAGAGGTACAGCGTTTGGCTGTTGAGAATCTAGGATGGATAAAACTCCCCGTAACTCTAGCAAAGCCGTCATCTTATCCTTCCAAATCGAGTAATTGTCCTCCGACAGCTGAGGTATGGTTTCGAGTGCTGTTTTCAGCATCGCCTGTCGGAACCCGTCGTTGTTCGATGTCCCTGCCATCGTCGTCGTCTCAGTAGGTTCGATCGACGTATTCTCCTGCTGTCCTGCGTCGGCTTCGCTTTGCATAAATCGACCGGTCGTAGGCTTTTAACCGTAAAAGATTTTTGAATTGAGATTGATTGCAATTTGAAGCCGACACACTTTTGAGAGAAACAAGTCAGAAAA